TATATAGAAGCACGTTTACCATAAAATTTGTTCACATTGTTATTTGTTTGTGCTATATTCTCTTCAATGTTTATAACATGTTTAATATGGGCTTTCATTGCTGCAAAATTTGGGCTAATGTTTTCAAGTCTGCATCTATAAATGTTTAACCTATATAACTGTATACACAAGTTGACGACGATGTCCACGTCTTTTAGTCCAAGTATAATGTCAGTTTTAGAAAACTGGTGCAGCTGTGTGTAACCATTTATGACCAACCAAGCATGCAGTGAAGACCAGGCATCTGTTACATATTCACATTCCACCAGTAGATGAACAATTGATTCATTTGAAGTGTTACAGAACGAGCCATTTTTCTCGTTGGTGATGTTGTTGTAGTTGATGATGTTGTTGTTGTTCCCATAATATTGCTGTTTGCTTGTTGTAGTCGTCGTCGTTGTTGTTGTTGTTGTTGTTGTTGTTGATTATGATAATGCTGATGATGATAACGGTGATTTTGTTGAATATATCCGTTTCTGCTGTTACTTATGTTCCTTTTTGTTGTATGTTGTTGTCGTCGCTGTTGTTTTTTTGATATAGTTGCTCTTGTATGTTTTCATGTTACTGCGCTATGTTGATTTATGTTGTTATGTTGTTGTTGCTGTTGTATGTTGCCTGATGTTGCTGTATGTTGCTACGTGTTATTGTTTATTTGTATGTTGTTGTTATCGCTGTCGTGCACATGCGTCCGTTTTGACCGGGAATACGTTTTCTACGTTATTGTTGCTATAGTTGTTGTTGTGGTTGTTGTTGTTGTTGTCGTTATTGTTGTTGTTGTTGTTGCTGCTGTTGTTGCTGTATGTTGTTGTATGTGGCGTGTATATTGTTGTTATCGCCGTCGTGAACATGCGTGTGTGAAGACCGCCGTGTGTACATACATTCTGGACAGCCTGAGGTTTTCTCGTAGTAGTCGTAGATAGCTTGGTCCGTGCACGTCAGGTGCTGCTTTAGATAGGTTTGCTGAAACAGCTCACACGCTGGCGTCACTCTGTTGTAGTTAAACGATCTGCCGACGTCAGACACACACGTAGTTATATGATATATTATTACACAGTACAGGTTACATTAACCTCATAACCTCATAACCTCATAAGATTATAACCTCTATAATAATTAGGCTGTCAGTGGGCTATAACGAAGACGCAAAGAGACCAGGTTAATTATACAGATAGATCAGCACTGCGGGTCGAAGTAGGAACAGCTTCAATTCAAGCTTTAATCGGTGTGGCTTTTGTCAGTGAGGCAGTAAGATAGTGAGACAGTGAGACATTGAGGCAGCGATACAGTGATACAGTGAGGCAGTGAGATAGTGAGATAGTAAGACATTGAGACAGTGCGTCAGTGAGGCAGTAAGAGAGTGAGACAATGAGACAGTGAAACAGTGAGACAGTGAGACAGTGAGACAGTGAGACAGTGAGACAGTGAGACAATGAGACAGTGAGGCCACGAGGCAGTGAGACAGTGAGAGAGTGAGACAGTGAGAGAGTGAGACAGTGAGACCGTGAGATAGTGAGGCAGTGATACAGTAAAACAGTGAAACAGTGAGACAGTGGGAGAGTACGATTGCTGGTAAAAAGTAACAAGTGATCTCTTCGTCCCTCAAGCGGGCGCGGCATCCAACACTAAAACAAACTGAAGCCGTACACGTCATGTCCGGGTCGTCCCTCAGCCATCGGTAAACGTTGTAAGACTTGGTGGGAGTCTCTAGCTTCAGTAAGGTCGCCTCTTCCGCCACGCAGCCAGCGAAAGCCTGCTCCATGGTGACTTCTTCCTGGAAAGCTCGCATGCAGACGTTGTCAACGATTGACCAGCCGACAGAGCATGGATCTAGTAGAGAAAGAGAGAAGAGAGAAGGGTGAGAGAGAGGGTGAAGAGTATGAGTAGAAAGAGAGAGGGAGGCGAAGAGATGAAGAGTGTGAGAGAAGAAGATAAGGGTAAGCGAGAGCAGAGAGAGAGCAGAACGGAGAAAGTAGATTATGAAAGAGGAGAATGAAGGAAAGAGGGACGGAGCGAGATGCAAGAGAGAGAGAGAAGTGGCGAGAGTGAGAGTGAGAGGGTGAGAGGAGAGAAAGGTGAGAGAGAGGCGGTGAAGGAGAAGGGTGAGAGAGAGAAGAGAGAGGTGAGAGAGAGTGTATATAGTGTCAAGAGTGAAAGAGCAGAGAGCGGTGAGAGAGAGAGAGGGTGCAGAAAGAGAGGGAGAGAGTGAGGGAGGGAGGAGAAGACAGAGGGTTGAGAGAGACCGGGAGTGCAGAGAATGATTTAACCATCAGTAGCACAAATGTCGGTGGTTGTCAGTAGGACGTGTTGTTGGTTGTGTGTTGTATTGCACTAGCTCTTTGAATGCTGAATTTTGATTGTACTGTTATTATTAAGTGTTGTTGCTGTGCGGTTGTTTTTGTAGCATCATATTGTTACTGTTGATTGTTGTCTATATTGATTTTCCGTCATTGTTACAGTAAACGTATGTCTGTGTGGTTGTTGTGTGTTGTTGTGTGTTGTTTGTGTGTTTGTTGTTGTTGGTAATGTTGTTGTTAGTTGTTGATATATTGCTGCTAGCTGGCTGCTCGCTGCGTGGTGTCTTGATATTACAAATGATGAGCTTGCCTTGTTTTCGTACGTCCGTCGTCGTCCAATCGCGGCATCCCGTTTGTCGTCGTGCGTCCGTCAATGCGTCCGTCATCGTCGTTCGTCGTCGATCATCGTCGTCATCGTCGGTCATCGTCGTTCGTCATGCGTCGTCTGTCGTGCGTCGTCGTTGATGTTTTTCGTTTTTTTTTTTAATTTTGTTATATTTCCAGGTATGGAATTACTATACAATAGTTAGCAGGCATTACAAATACATACTTGTAACATATAAATTTATTTTAAACAATATATATATAATAATATAAGATACGTAGGATTAATACTATTCGGTACAAAAAACTTTATCATAATCTTACCATTTGGGCATGTTGGATCCTATAAACTATATAAGTTCACAATCAAGACTTAGTGTTATATTGAGGTATAATATTTATATGTGGTATTCTATCGTAATCTTGTGGATAGTAGAAGAACCGGATTACCAATAAAGATTTGTTCAATATTGTTATTCTGTTTGTGCCTAGTATTACTCCATCAATGTTTATCAACAATCGTTTCAATATTTGGCTTTCATTGCTGCAAAATAATTGGCTAATATTTATCAAGTCTGCATGTACTAATAAAATGTTAACTATAACGCTATATAATCTGATATACACAAGATTTGTAAGACGATGTCCACGTCTTTTAGTCGCAAGTAAACATAGTCAGTTTTAGAAAACTGGTTGGCAGCTGTGTAGTAAAGCCATTTATGACCAGAACCACAGCATGCAAGTGAAAGACAAAGGACTATCTGTTACATATATACACCATTCACGGCACCAGAGTAGACTGAACAATTGATTGGCACTTGTAATGCTATAATACAGAACGAGCGATTTTTTCTTGTTCGATGAAATGTTGATGTTGTTGTATGCTAGCTGCTAAGCATAGCCAAAGTATGTTGCGAATTAATTGTTTCTAGTTTGCTTGTTGTTGTCGGATACGTCAGATCGTCGTCGATCGTCGTCGTAGTCGTTGTTGTTGTTGTTGTTGTTGGGATGGAATGCATTAATGATGATGATTATAACGGGTGATTTATGTATGATATATCCGCTTCCGCTGATTACTTATAGTTCCTTTTTGTTGTATGTTGATGTCGATAACGTTGTATGATTGTTAACGTTTATTGTCCGTTCTACCTTGTTATGAAGTTACACGAAAAATAACTTATTTGATAACTAGTCTGCCTCACTTAGTAATGTTTTCATAGTTCAAATAAAACAAAAAAAAAGAAACTAAAGTAAAAAGAAAGCGACTATGTTGATATATGATTGTCTATAGTATAGTTGTTAGTTAGATTGTATGTATGTTGGCTGATGTTGTTGTTGTATGTTGCTCGTGTTATAATAGATAATATATTTGTATGTTGTTGTACTAATGCGCTGTCGTTGCACACTGCAACTTGCGTCTTGACGGCGGGAATACGTTCTTTACGTTGTTGTTGGCTATAGTTGTGAAATTGTGTGTTGTTGATTGTCTGTTTGTTGTATTGCTGTTGCTAAGAAACTGTTGTTGCTGTTATGTTGTTGTATGTGGCGTGTATATTGTTGTTATAAAAACGCCGAGTCAGTGAACAGTGCGATGTGATGAAGACGGCCGTGTGAACATAACATTCGTGGTACAGCCTGAGGTCTTTTCTCGTAGTGTCGTAGATAGCTTGGTCCCGTGCACGGTCAGGTGCGCTTTAGATGAGGTCTTTGCTGAAAACAGCTTCACATCGCCTGGCGTCACTCTGCTTGATAGTTAAACGCATCTGGCGACGGTTCAGACACACACGTAGTTATATATATAAATTATTACAAAGTACAGGTTCATATCAGAGTTATAACATATATATAATCAGACACTAATACCAGAAGGGTGAAAATTAAACGTTAATAATGTCAAATAATACAAACGTTATATTATATACCATCACACAATACAGGTTACATATAACGTTATATCATAAAATATAAATATATATATATATATATAATATATATATATATATATAATATATAGTATATATAAGTACATACATATACATATATATATGTATAATATAATAATAATAATAATAATAATAATAATAATAATAATAATATGATATATAATATATTCTCACATTATATGTTTTGTCTTAATTATATTACTGTTATATTGTTCCTATTATATATTATTGTTATCATCGTGTTATATATGTTATGTTATGTTATGTTACGTTACGTTACATTATCTTATATTATGTTTCGTTATGATACGATATATTAGTTTACGTCCCAGCCATGGCTTTATATCTAACCCTAACATTACCACTATTCCTAACCATGACACCAACCCTTACCCTAACTTTAAACCTAATACTAACCCTAACCCTAACCCAAACCTTAATCCTGATCCTAACCCTAAACCTAACTATAACCCGAACCCTAAGCTTTACCCTAACTCTAACCCTACCCTTAACTATAACCCTAACCCTAAACTTTATTCTAACCCTAACCCTACCCCTAACCCGAACCATAAACCTAAGCCTAACCCTAACTCTAACCCAAACGCTTACCCTAACCCCAACCCTACCCTTAACCCGAACACTAACCCTAACCCTAACCCTAACCCTAACCCTAACCCTAACCCTAATCTTAAGCCCAACCCTAACCCTGACCCTGACCCTAACTCTAATCCTAACCCTAACCCTAACAACAACCCTAACCCTAATTCTAACACTAGGCGTAATCCTAACCCTAACCCTAACTATAATCCTAGACCTAATCTTAACCCTAAGCCTATGCCTAGCTCTAGCCCTAACCCTAATCATGACCCTAAGCCTAAGCCTAACCCTAATCCTAACCCGAGCCCTAATTCTAACCCTAACCTTAACCGTAACCCTAACCCTAATTTTAATTATTAACACATAAGATGTTCAAGGATTTCTCTACTCCTGAAGCTTTTTAGTTAAAGGTTTACAACTATTTTCTACCATACGAGAATTTATTACAATCATCAAACAAGAGTTTATCGACCAAAAAATCACAAACATTTACGAACATACACGAAGATTCACGAATATTCACGAACATACACGAGCATTCACTAACGTTCACGAAAATTCAGCATCATTTACGAGCATGCACGTGTATTCACGAACGTTCATGAACATTTATGAACGCCCAGAACGATTGACGAATGTGTATTAGTATTCACCAAAGTTCACGAACATTCACAACCCTTCATAAGCATTTAGGAACGTACACGAGCAACTGCGATCTTTTTGTACCGTCGGTCGCGCCACCTACCTGCACGTAAACAAAGTTTCGGACAAGCAGAGCTGCTTACAGGCCGCGACATCTCCTGAGCCAAGATTGCGTACGCTGACGTCATCAATGAAATCACACATGCCGCTCGTTATCACGTTAAAATCCTCCTTGCATCTCGCTGCAGAAGATGAGCGGACAGTTACTCTTCATAGATGCTATATATTGGTCTAACAGTTGTAGCTCATTAGAAGATGTTTAGGGTGGCGCGCACATACACGCACGCACGCACACACGCACACGCATGCATACACGCACGCACACGCACACGCCCGCACGAACGCATGTACGCACACACACATACACACGCACACGCACGCACGCATGCACGCACACACACATACACCACTACACACATGCGCGCGCACACACGCACACGCACGCACGCACGCACACATACACATGCACGCACACACACACACAGGCACACACACATACCCCAACACACACACACACACCCACACACCCACACACACATACACACGCACCCCCCACACGCCCGTACTTACGTTGACACGTCAGCTCGTAATAGTTCCCCAGATTCACGTCAGCTGCTGTCGTCTGTTCGTACTGGCCTCGCTTCGTCACCGCCGTGCCGTTATTCAGCGTGCACAGCTGCGTGACGTCATCGTAGTTGAGCGAGCGGCATGGGAAGGGCTTCAGGTGGAGGCACTCCGTGTGGCAATCGGCAAGCGTCGGCTGCTCGGCACGGTAACCGTAGTCGCCTAGCTGCCAGCCTACGTAGCTCTCCAGTTGCCAGTGGGTGTCGCAGGAGCGGTCACGGTCTGCGATGATGAGAGCGGTATACGTAGGTAAAGTATGAAAGGGCTTCAGTGGAACGTAGTGGAACACAGAGACCGCAGTCATAGTTTGTACGTCATTTATATATATATATTATTCTCAATATATATATATTATTCTCAATATTATTAGTGTGTCACTGCCGCCCTCTGGCCAGGAAACCAAACCGCTTCTACGTCACTTCCTCCCTCTGTAAGCGACCGCTTCTACGTCACTTCCTCTCTCTCCAAGCAACCGTCGTCTACGTCACTTCTTGCCTCTGTAAGCGCGGTAACAACGGACGCTGTCAGTAACGACGCATACGCTAGCGCCCCCTACCTGACCACTCGTATCCATACAGGTCCATGCGCAGTCCGATGCCGTTGTTGTCGGCAGCTTGTATCGGCAGCAGACGCACATACTGCGCCGTGATGGGCAACGGGAAGCCAGCGCAGCAACACCGTGTCGTCTGCCGTGCCTGTGGCTGGCCATCTATGATCTGCAAAAACGATTAAGATACGACGTTATCGGTATATATCATATAGTATATATATGATATATATATATATATATATATATAAGAGAGAGAGAGAGAGATGAGAGAGAGAGAGACAGAGAGAGAGAGAGATAGAAAGAAGAGAGAGGAGAGAGAGAGAGCAGAGAGAGAGAGAGAGAGAGAGAGAGAGAGAAGAGAGAGAGAGAGAGAGAGAGAGAGAGAGAGAGAGAGGGCAGCGGAAGCAACGCAGCGTTCGTATGTGGGGAGGGGTGAGTGTGGTGATGGGTGTGCTGGAGATGAGTTGGGGAGGGTGGGTGCGGGGTGGGTGTGGGAAGGGGTGGGTGGCGGGGTAAGTGTGTGGGAGGGTGGGTGGGGGGGGGGTGGCGGAGTGTGTGGGTATGCTGCGAGATGTGTGTGCTAAAATGGGTGTGGGAAGGGGTGAGTGCGGGTGTGGGTGTGTGGAGGGGGGGTGTGGGATGGATGGGTATGGTTTGGAGAATTGGGTGTTTTGAAGAGTGAGGTGCGGCTGGTGTATGTGGAGGGGTGGGTATGCTTGGATGTGTGGTGAGGAGTGAGTGTGGTGGAGGGTGGGTATGTGAAAGGCTGGGTATGCTTGGATGGTGTGGGGAGGGATGGGTACGCTGGGATCCAGGTGTGGGTTGAGTGGTGAGTTAGTGTGGAGGGTGGGTTTGAGTTGGTATCTGTAAAAGAAATATTGATGTAGAATACTTGTGCTTGATAGCGAAGTCAGGCAATGTGTTAGTGTAGAGATAGATAGATAGAATAGATAGACAGGAGCTCAGATAGGAGGAGAGTAAGGGAAGTAAGCAGAGAGAGGGGGAAGAGAGGAAGAGACAGAGACCGATAGAGCAGAAACACACACACAGAGAGAGAGAGAGAGAGAAAGAGAGAGAAGAGAGTGGGAAAGAGAGGGAGAGACAAGAACACCGATAGAGAAAGAATAGAGAGAGAGGCAGAGGGGAGGAGAAAGATAGCGACACAGAGGAATGAGACAGGGTACAGAGAGCGACACAGTACACAGTACCACACACACAGTCACACACACACACACACACACACACACACACACACACACACACACACACACACACACACCGATGAGAGTGAGAGAGAGAGAACGAGAGAGAGAAGCGAGAGACAGAGGAAAGGAATGGAGGGTAGAGTGAGCGAGAGAGAGAGACAGACGACAGCGTGAGAGAGACGAGAGAGAGCAGAAAGACAGAGAGCGCGACAGACAGAGCAAAGACAGGACACCACATTGGGCACCTCACACACAACACACACACAGCACAAACGACACACACAACACACACACACATGCACAGAGAGAGAAGATATGGATAGATAGATAATATATATGAGAGAGAGAGAGAGAGAGAGAGAGAGAGAGAGAGAGAGAGAGAAGAGAGAGGAGCGCGCGCTAGGAAAAAGAGAAAGAGAGAGAGAGAGAGCTAAGAGAAAGAAGAGAGAGAAGCGCGCTAGAGAGAAAGAGAGAGAGAGACGCGCTATAGAGAGAGTGAGAGAGAGAGAGAGAGAGAGGGAGAGAGAGAGAGAGAGAGAGAGCGAGAGAGAGAGAGAAGCGCGCGCTCAAAGAAGAGAAGGAGAGAGCAGAGGAGAGAGAGAGAGAAAAAACGAGAGAGAGAGAGAGAGAGAGAGAGAGAGAGGAGAGAGACGAGAGGTAGAGAGAAAGAGAGAGAGAGAGAGAGAGAGAGAGAGAAAGAGAGACGGGTCGGATTACATTCACACCTTGGCTTCATTGCCGAATCCCATGTACGTGGTGAAGTTATCAGCGTCGTCTGTGGCGTACTCTAGCGTGAAGTACTTGGTGCCTCTCTGCTTAAGGCTGTCCGCCTGTACGGCCACCGCCATGATGATGTGCATTCTCGTCAGATTCACCTAGACAACGACGCGATAGATGGCAGCACATGTTATCATGTTTCACTTCATTATGTCATTATATTTTTATATTGTCTAATATTATAGTTAGTGTTATTTTTATTATTATTATTATTATTATTATTATTATTATTATTATTATTATTATTATTATCATTACTATTGCTATTAAGGTGATGATAAATAATATTATATTTTAATGCGTGTAATGTGGATCGGAGGGGAATCGACAAAATTGCATCAAAATATTGTATATCCATATATACAAAGCTATATGGTTGTGTGTAGTACGTATATAAATGCAATCGTCATATTAGAATAAATAAGATAAAAATGTGTTTACGACAATATTTTGATATATATATATATATAAATATATAATATACAATATATATAATATATTGGTCTATGTATATATATAAATAAATAATTAAATATTAATACAATATATACATATTGTAATAATAAGGTAATATTGTAATACATATTGTAATAACAATAATACTACACGTGCAAAATAAGATATCTTCGTAGATGTTGGGGCACACAGCACTGATCTATATATAACTATCACACACACACGCACGCACACACAACACACACACACACACACACACACCACAACACCACAACACACTACGCGCGGACGCGCGCAGCGCGCCACACGCACACGCACATACACACACACACACACACACACACACACCACACGCACACGCACACGCACATCGCACACGCCACGGACCACGCACACGCCACACACACACACACACACACACACACACACACACCTACACACACACACACACACACACACACACACACACACACAACACCACACACACACGACACAGCACACAGCACACATCACACCACATAATACTATATAGATAGGCCTATATTATATATATATTATATAGGCCTATATAATACAAGTTCTAGCTAATATATTAGATCACCTGTCTTTTGGCCGTGACATGCCAATCGACCGCGTAACGACTTCGTCTACCATCGACGTATGGATACGGATCATCGTCTAGCGGTTGCCGTCGACTGCGCTGCGCCCCTCTATCGACGCACAACTCAAACAATCCGCCTACCTTCGACTGTATATGGAATACGGATCCGTCATTAGTGGTGCCCATCCTGCGCGCGCACCGCCACGTTGCTCTGTACGTCCGGTCTAACGGACTGTAGGTGGCGGCGTATGAGGCGATTCGTCGATCGAGCTCCGACCGAGGCGGATATCATGTCGTCGTCCGATCGGGTGTGTGACCCCAGGCAACTCTCGCCCGAAACTGTTGTACGGGAGCCGAGATGATGTAGTGCCTTACTCGGAGCGAGCACTGCCACACGGGCGAAGCAAGGCGTTGAAGTGCGATGTACGTGCTTACGAATGTATACATGAGGGAAGGAAAGAAAGAAAGACACAGGGTTAGACGACTGAGAAGAGGGAGAAGGGGACAGGGGGGTGGAGGAAAAGATTCGCGAGCTGAAGCGTGCAAGGGAGAGAGAGAGAGAGATGAGAAGAGACGCATATGGAGACAGAGAGAGAGAGAGGAGGAGACGAGGGAGAGACGACGAGAGAGAGAGAGAGAGATGATATATATTATAAATATGTCTATATTTCCAGACATGTTTTAATATCTAGACATAACTTCTAACATTGGGTTTATTATATATATATTATATCATTTCGTTTTTCGTGTGGAAAGTCAATAATAATTACATACTATTTAGGCGTTCTTCATAATTTTATCATGCAACAATTCCAGTTTATATATATATATGTACATATTATGTATATAAATTATAGATATACAGCAGATACTATTACAAACTACGTATCACTACTACTAAATATAACTGACAGCGGCGTATGTTAATGCACACGCTCTCTCTCTCTCTCTCTCTCTCTCTCTCTCTCTCTCTCTCTCTCTCTCTCTCTCTCTCTCTCTCTCTCTCTCTCTCTCTCTTGCTCCTTGCTTCCCTCTTTCTCTCCCTCTCTCTCCGTGTCCATCTTCGGCTCGCTCTCTCCCTCTCCCTCCCTCTCATTTTCCCGCGTTCTGTCCTCTCCCCCTCTCTCCCTCTCTTCCCCTCTCTCTCATTCTATCTCTCTATTTACGTACCTAGCTCACAATTGTGCCCCTCGTAGCCGTCCACGCATGCGCAGTGACCGGCGGTCATGCCCGCCTCGCACGTGCCGTTGTTATGGCAGACGATAGTATCGCAGAGATCTGTCGACATGCAGAGCGGTCGTCATGACAACGAGTGGTGGCCATTTTGTCTAAGATTGTACATGCATGTATAGTATATATGCAAATGAAATCATGATCTAATCATCTCAGAATTTTTTGTTTATCGTTGTTTTCTAAGATCGTAGTTGGTAGACATTCATAAGTCGCTCAACAAACTAATTTAAAAGCAGATATATCCAATAAAAATACATTTTGAAATTTCATGGTGGCAAAAAAGACACCATAGAAACGTGGTGTTCACTCTGATAATATATATAATATAAATAACTGATAGTTTAAAGGAGATGATTATCTCCGTTATTAGTCAATGTAAACACAAATCTCCCGCTGTATTTTGTCATAACTCGGTAGAGGCGCTAGCGTCCTTGCTGCGGTTAATTAGATTGGTCGATCAGCGTTCTGGTTTCCATCTATGATTCTATGGGTTCTAACCCGTCTCTCAACACACACTCTTGTGAAGTTTGCGGACTTCTGCTTTTGATCTTGTCTTAGATAACATATTCATATCGTCGCGTTAGATAACGCGTACAGATTAAATAACGTACATATTAGATAACTAACAGCGCCCTCGCTGTGTGTGTAACGTAACTAACGGCGCCCTCTGTGTGTGTGTGTGTGTGTGTGTGTGTGTGTGTGTGTGTGTGTGTGTGTGTGTGTCGNGTGTGTGTGTGTGTGTGTGTCACACAGCTTACAGCGCCCTCTGTGTGTGTGTCACACACAGCTAACAGCGCCATCTGTGTGTGTGTGTGTGTGTGTCACACAGCTAACAGCGCCCTCTGTGTGAGGTAACTTACAGACGTCGCAGTTCTTGCCGCCGTAGCCTTCCACGCAGCGGCAGCTGTATCCACCCTCTCTTGGCTCGCACGCACCGAGGTTACACGGCGACGGATCACAGAACTCTGCAACGTCAGCAAGCGCAGGTCAGAGGTCACGGCGTGACATAGAACATGACAGCGTGAGGTAGAACACAATAGCGTGACGTAGGACATGGCGGCGTGACGTAGTACATGGTGGCGTGACGTAGAACATGGTGGCGTAACGTAGAACATGGTGGCGTGACGTAGAACATGGTGGCGTAACGTAGAACATGGTGGCGTGACGTAGAACATGGTAGCGTGACGTAGAGCATGATAGCGTGACGTAGAACATGATGGCGTGACGTAGAACATGGTGGCGTGACGTAGAGCATGATAGCGTGACGTAGAACATGGTGGCGTGACGTAGAGCATGATAGCGTGACGTAGAGCATGATAGCGTGACGTAGAACAGAGCATGGTAGCGTGACGTGGAGCATGATGAAGTGAAGTAGAGCATGCTGGTATGAGGGTAGGACATGATGGCGTGATGTAGAA